GAAAATGCAAATTAAAAATCACAATATCACCTGCTTCTGTCAAAATGGCCATTAATAAAAAGTCAAAAAACAGTAGATGTTGGCATGTATTCAGTGAAAAGGGAATGCTTATATGCTGTTGGTGGGAATGTAAATTAGTACAACCTCTATAGAAAATAGTATGGAGAGTCCTCAAAGAACTAAAAGTAGACCTACCATTTTATCCAGCAACCCCAATGGAAAAGAAATCATTATATTAAAAAAGACACCTGCAGCTGAATATCTATCACAGCACAATTCACAATTGCAAAGATATGGAATCAACCTAAGTGCCCATCAACTAATGAGTGGATAAAGAAAAAGTGGTGTGTATGTGTGTGTGTGTGTATATATAAAATATTATGCCATGAAATACTATTCAGCAATATGAAAGAATGAAACAATGTCTTCTGCAGCAACTTGGATAGAACCAGAGACCAGTGAAGTATCTTAGGAATGGAAAAGCAAATACCATATGTTCTCACTTATAAGTGGGGGCTAAACAATGCGTATATATGGTCATCAAGTGGTGTTATGGGCATTGAAAACTAAGTAAAGGAGAGGTTGGGGAGGTGATGGGGGATAAAAAATCACCTAGCAGGTACAATGTACACTATTCTGGTGACAGGTACACTAAAAGGCCTTACTTCACCATTATACAACTCATCCATGTAGCAACAAACATTTTACTACCTAAATGTATTAAAATTTAAAAATTTTTTTTTTTAATTTTTAAAAGAAAAATAAATAGACTGACTGGAGGAAAAATGTTTTATAAGATGGTCAGAGAAAGCTACTCTAATAACATGAAGTATGAAACATAAGCAAAGACTATGGCATAGTTATTTGTCAGTGACTTAGAGTAGAAAATTTGAAAATTTTTTTAACTTTTTGTTTTCTCATAAATATATATCTAATTGAGTGCCAAATTTGGCAAAATGATCTACTGAAATATTACATCTAATATATTCCTGATGGATCACTCCAAAGGAATGAGAAGGTTCTTTATTTTGTTTTGTTTTATTTTGTATTCTCAAGAAGGCAAATAAACCTTTAGTCTCTGAAGGCAGTAGCTTCTTAAAGGTTAGTTGCAATGTGAAATTGGAAATTCTATCAATGAACTCTTTACACTCTCTTAAATTAAAATCTGTTTGTCTATCTTGCACTTTGAATGGATCTTTTATCTATATGTTTTTTTTTTCAACATCACACTTTGGTAATTTTGAAAATATTGGTTTTAATAAGTTATTTGCATCTTTCAAACAATTGACACATTTCATTGTACAATATCAAAAGATCACATTTGTTAATATCACCATTGAGCCTATCAAAAAATCTTGATAGCTTGACTAGGAAGCTATCAAGCTCATGGGCTAAAAACAATTTCTCCAAAATTCTAATTTTCACTTGAAAGTTCAATATCTATCACTGGCAGCAAAAACTACCAGTTGTTCTCCTTGACATGATCAGTTTACTTCCTTCGTCTAGGAAATGGTTGTCTACCAAACACCTAAGTAAAAACAATTTCTCCAAAATGGTTGTCTACCAAACACCTAAGTATAATAACCACAGTTTGCCAGCCATTTTTTTCAAGTAAAACTAGTGTTTCCCCACCAGTGCTCTTTCTTGAAAGAATTATCATAGTGCAATGTGCAGCTGAGTGCTTTATATGGACTACCTATTTTGACAAACAGGATATTAAAAAGACATTTCCGTAAGGTTCAAAATGTAATAAAATTTATCACTGTTACTGCTTCATCAAAGATCAAGAAGATGTTTAAAGAAAAGTGGCACTGTTTTTATTGCAAGATATTTACTGTTTCATGGAAGATCAAGGACATTCATAAATAAAAGTGGGATTGTTTGTACTGAAAGATATGGCAGTAAAGAATACAACTACCAGTAGTTTGGTGCCACCACCTTTATTTGTGTTTAAGCACCCGAAGTTTTACCCATGATTGTTTTCTCAACAGCAGAGCAAATGTTAACACAATGAAAAGGCAAATAATGCCTCATTAGGATTATGAAAGCAGTGTTGACCTGTGAATGCCTTGAAAGGATCCTGCTAGAGTAAAGATTTCTAAAGCAGAATTTTTGTATGTCATTCCCTTGCTCAAAAGATTTCAGTTGTTCACATTTCCCACAGGGAATTTTAAAAAAGCAAACTTTTCAATTTTGAATTTAAACTTTACATAATCCTACAGTAATCTGTCATTTCATATACTCCTTAATGCAAACTGACTCTAGATGAATGTAACCATTACTATTTCTATTATAAACTTTGGGACTTTACAGTTTCTCTCAAATGATGTTGCTATTTCTTTTGCTTGAAGGGCCTCACCTTCTCTTGCATTCTTTATATGAAGGTCTTTCCTTGAGTTCAAGGCCCAATTGCAACGAGGCCTAAGTAGATATCACAGATACTTCCTCTGAATGCACACAGCACTTTGTACTTCTCCCATCCCACTTATTCTGTACCTGGCAATAACACCTCACATTTCCTGAAGCCTGGCAGGACACATTACATACAGTTGGTGCTTAATAAATACTTGAAGAAGAAAGTGTTTGGTTGCATTGAGCCATTCATTTACATGTTTCACTGCTGCTACCATAAGAGGCTGTTGGCTGAGGTTAGGGTTAATGTCTTTGTTCCCTGAGAAAATTACTTTCATTGTGAAGCTTATTATGGTACAAAGCAATTCAACTCACGATCTCGATCTCATTAGCCAGTCTGCTCTCCTTAACATCCTCAGATTTGTATAAAGATCTGCCAATCAAAAGCATAAGGTTGTTAAAATACTTTGAATTGTGTAGAAGAGTATTGATTTTTAAAGTTATGTTTGAAGGTTTATTGAGACAATATTACCATTTAGTTATTTTCCTTAACACCCAGTAAATTACTCAGAATAAAGGAATTGCCCCCTAAACATGACCATCTCACTTTTTCCTTCTGGTTTCATACTCAATTATTTTATGGACTATAGTGAAATAGTATAATATGATTATGAAATGCTCATATCTAAATCACTTAGTACAGATGATTATTTAAACCAAAAGCAAGCTACATATGCTGCCGATAAATTGGATTTGAGACTAAATAAAGTTTATCTTTGAGAGAATTGCAAAGAGCTAGTTTCTTTTCACAGAATACCTTGAGAAAAATGTAGAATGTGAAAATGAAATGAGATTTCAGTTCCTTTTTCCATTCATCTGTCTAAATTGGGACAAAATCTCACATATTTCATCTTCAGTGATTATAGGTATGAAAGAATAAGATACATGTGTTATCTGGCAGCAGATAAGAATTGGTACCTATTTTACCATCTTTAGATCATTAAGAAATGTGCGTCTATTTTCTCTAGAGGTAAAATGGTATTTATAATAAACATATTAAAGAACTTACAAATAAAAGTGAAATCCTTCTATTATTACCAATAGAATCATTATTAATCTCAGGGTTCAATGAAATGCATACTAGTGTCAAGCATTAAGCCCTTGCTGTGTTAATTCAACAGTCTAGAGGACAGTCCTGCAGGTTCCCATATCTATTCAGAGATGCGACCTCCACCCCTTCAATCTTGACAACTTTACAAGCTCTACCAAATGGTGCGTGCTCCATAATGAGCCATCACGCTGATGGTACTGCTGCTAAAACCCTCACAGAAGAATCCAAGACATTCTAAAGAGATCTTCTGGTCACTGATACTCCTGCTACTACCATCCCCATTGCCCACAGAGTGGAAGCTGCTACATATGCCCAAGGGTCAAGTGGAGTGGTGGGATGTCTGGCTCCAGTCACTACCACCTGAGCTAGACCAGATTTAGCAGTCTCTAGAAGGATTTTTCCCAGGTATTGGGGAGAGTAGAGGATAATCAGTTCCCTTCCCTACTCATTGGTCTTTTCAACCTAATCTGCTCCACACCAGTTGTTTCCAAACACTCACGTAGCCTCTTCCCTACAAAACAAGCTTGTTTCCAGGAGAATTTGTTTGGGACCATTTCCCTCATGTGCTGCTGGATGTACCTAAGCTTCTGCTTCCTTCATCTGACCACCTGACTTGGTTCAGAGACCACACCATGTTTCCCCTCTTTTTCTACCTCCATGGTAGTTGTGCATCAAGGAACTCACTGATCAGAGTAATGACAATCCTGCCCCACGGTTTCCATTCACTTTTCACTCCTTCTCTGCAGTAGCCTTCAAGCATGCATTTCAATAGCTTCTCACTCAGAAGGAAGAAAAAGATAAAATTCTGCTTTTCTGAGGTACCTCCCGTATACAAATATGAAATTTTAGTATACGGAAAGCTGCTGACTTATTACAACATCCATTCGTTAAATCTATCCTGAATTCGCTGATAAGTGCAAGTGTTTCCTCCTCCACAAATTATTCCATGTGGATTTTCTTTTGTACTCTTACTTTCCCTGAATAGAAGACATTTCTACTTAAAATATCATTTTGTCCCTTTTGGGACTTGGGATATTGAAGCAGATATCACAAATTAAAATAGTTAATGATTAAATCAAGAAAGGCATCAGGTGGTGATACTTTTCCTCCACAGATCTTACAGTCATTTTCCAGACAGTGACGATTTCAGTTTTTGTTGAAAGAGTCCTGAATAATTTGAGAGGTGAGGATGAACCTAATGGAGTGGAATCAAAATGAAAATTGCTGAATTAATCCAGTAACTGCCTATACCAAGGAAAGAATGTATATGCATGTCCCTTAAAGTTTCCTCATGCATGTTGCATTTTTTTATGAGTCTACTTCATTTTCTTGCATTATTTGGTGAGCGTTCCATATTCCATGTTGAATAGACTTCAACAGACTTTTGAAACATGGAATCCGGCAATGTATAGCTCAACCCTCAGAGTTAAGATGACACTGATTGGTCTCATCCTATGTGACTATACAAGTATTTTGCATTTCTTTTCAATGAATGGCCTTGTTTAGTCTATTAATATTTTTATTATATTTTGTCTAGTTGGGTACACAATGAATGATCTCATTTTTGAATGGCAAGATGAGGCACCTGTACAAGTGGCAGAAGGACTCACTTTGCCCCAGTTTCTGTTGAAAGAAGAAAAAGATTTGCGATACTGCACTAAACATTACAATACAGGTAGGGGTTGAGTAGTCTTATTTACATCTATGACTTGTGGTTTTATGATATCTAGATGCTTCTTAATTATAATGCTAGGATAATTATTTTAACTATTCATAGCTCAATGTCTTTGATTAATGCATGACATCAATGGATGTCATTTGAAACTTATGAACTGTGACTCATTACATATTGTTAAATAATTGATTTGTATGGGCCCAAAGAAATTCCTGGTATCCAATTATATTTAATTTTTTGTGTGTGTGAAATGCCCATTCTTATATAGTAATGATGTTTCCAAAAATGTCCCTTTAATTTCCATGTGAGCAATAAAAATATATTTTTTAACCCTCCTTGGGCAATAAGCACTGTCTCTGCTAACAAAAAAAAAAATTGCTTTTTTTAAAAGAAGACTTCTTTGCCTAAACTTTCCCTTTGTCATATTTTCATGCATTTCAAGGTATTTTTCTCTAAATATGTACTACTCTCACTGACACAGGAGCCTTTCCACATTTGAGGTAGATATCAGATGTAGTTATAATATTAACATAAAGGATTGAAGGACTCAATGTGGTATTTGTACATTCACACGGTCTGTTCACTTCCCTTAACTGCCATAAGCTATTTCCATAAAGCCTATTCTGACTGTATAACCTATTCCTATGAATTCCATTAAACTGCTCATAATTGAGACATCACTCCACGGTGAGGAGACCATGGTCTCCCACTAGCCTCAGCTGCTGCTCTTCATCATTTCATTACAGTAACTATGATTCACATTGGGCTCAGTATTTTCCAGAACAGTGATCTGACTTTTCACTATACAAAATCCCTAGTCTCTTATCTCCTTAAAAATTCACAATATCTGATCAAAAAGTCACTGCCCCTTTTCTTAACTCAGAGACAAAGCAGATATCTAACTTACTAGGGAGTTAAAGGTTAAAAGCTCAACACAAAGATAAAGGGCAAGCAAGTCAACAGCAATGTCCTTGCTCAGCACCTAGGGGCAGTAGTATTAATAAATTCCTTTCAAAGAAATGCTAACAAGTCCCTAGAGTTGGGTTAGGAAGGTGTATTAGTTTCCTAGGGCTGCCACAAACTGTCACAAACTTAGCTTAAAACAACAGAAATGTATTCTATCACAGTTCTGGAGGCTACAAGTCCAAAATCGAGGTGTCAGCAAGGCCATGCTTTCTTTAGGGAAGAATCTTTCCCTGCCTCTTTCTGGTTTCCTATTAAATATTTCTGGCACTCCTTGGTGTTCTTCAGCTTGTAGATATATCACTTCAGTCTCTGCCTCCACAGTCACAAGGTATTTTTTCCTGTGTCTCTGTGTCCAAATTTCCCTCTTCCTGTATAACTAATATTGTATATCACTAATATTGTATCACTAATACTGTATCACTAATATTGTATATCACTAAAATTGAATTTAGGGGCAATCTTAATCCAATATAACCTCATTTTAACTTGATTATCTGCAAATACCTCACTCTCAAATAAAGTCACAGTCACAGGTTCTAGGTGGGCATGAACTGTAGGGAGATAATACTCAACCCAGAATAAGGGGTGAAGTTGTAAACATCACCTGGGGATGAATATTTTAAGATAGTCTCAAGACCCTTCCTTAGCATAAAGTAAGTTTCCATACTTCATTGAGTTATCTACCAAGCTATTACAGCTTAGAGGAAAAGAACTTATATTTATGAATCCCTACTATAAGCAAGGAATTGGAAAGGTATTTTCTTGGATGACATCATAGAGATCTCACAAATTTATAGTCTAAGCAATTAAAGCACAATAACTTGCCTAAAGTTACATAGAAAATAAAAGCGTCCTCAATTAGTTTTGTGGTTAATTTCAGACCCTGAGCTCCATTATTTACTCCTACAATGCACAGGACTCCCCTGTTAATTTTCCAATAATAGGCTCAGATACTACATAGTTCCCCTAAGTTACTTACACAAACGCAAAAAAAAACAAAACAAAAAAAAACAACACCAAAAAACACTAGGTTACATAAGAACCATACTTATAAATACCTTCCCCCTATAAAATGAAATATATTGAAGTTAAAAATGCCTTCATACACAAATGAACTGCACAAACTTAGAGGATTTGTTCAATTATATTTTATTATCCCAAAGTATTTATTGATTATGTACTACAAGGCCCTATGATCTGTCTCCTTCTAATACTCTCTCCAAAATTTTCTACCTCTCTTCCCCTTGCTCTACCATCTGCCATAATGGCTTGCTCACTCATAAACACCAAATTTATTCCTTCCCTAGGGGCTCTGTACTTGCTCTTCCTTCTACATGTAAGGATCTTCCCAAATTTTCAAACCTAATACTCTCACATTCTGCAGGACTACTCAAATGCCAACTCTTGAAATGTCCTTATGTAACAAGCCTATGTAAATTACCCAAAGCCCCCTCTACTTTCTGCTTTCACTGTCTGAAATTGTATCATTCATTTTTATGTCTACTTATTTATTGCATGTTTCCTTCATTGCCTTAAGTTTGTATTATATTTATTCTGTTTAAATCTACACTTCTGGGGTGTGCTTCAATGCATAGGTGATGAATTTTTTTGTCCAATTTGTTCATTCTTCTCTTTAGAACCACACAGAGTATATGTATTTATATATAAGCAATGGTGTGTATGTGTACATGTGTATACTTTTATTTTCCTTTCTAGCAATATGTATAATTTTTTATTTTAAATTTTCATAGATACATAATAGTTGTACAAATTTGTGGGGTATGTGGTATTTTGTTAGGAGCGTGAAATGAGCAATGATCAAATCTGAGTAACTGAGGTATCTGTCACCTCTTACAATATTCTAAATCTTCTCCTCTAGCTATTTTGAAATATACAATAAATAATTGTTAACTATAGTAGCCGTATTGTGCTATGGCACACTAGAACTTATTCTTTTTATCCAACTATATTTTGTGCCCATTAGCCAACCCCTTTTCATTCACCCCTTCCTGCTCTCCTTGCCAGACTCTGGTAACCACCATTTTATTCGCTACCACCATGAGGTTAATTATTTTATTAATAGCTCTCACATATGAGTGAGTACATGCAATATTCATTTTTCTGTGCCTGGCTTATTTCATTTAACATAACGCCCTCCAGTTCCACCCATGTTGCTGTAAATGACAAAATTCAATTCTTTTTTATGGCTGAATTATATTCTATTGTGTATAAATACTACATTTTCTTTATGTATTCATCCCTTGACCCATAGGTTGATTCTATTAATATATGGTGGCTATTGTGAACAGTGCTGTAATAAATGAGGAAGTGCAGGTATCTCTTTGATACATTGATTTCCTGTCTTTTGTATATATACCAAGCAGTGGGATTGCTGGATTATGTGGTAATTCTATTTTCAGTTTTTTGAGGGATCTCCATACTGTTTTCCACAGTGACTCTACTAATTTACATTCTCACCAACAGTATACTATTGTTCCCCTTTCTCCACATTCTCACCAACATTTGTTATTTTCTGTATTTTTGATAATTGACATTTTAGCTGGGATGAGATAGTATTTCATTATGGTTTTGACTGGCATTTTCCCTGATGTTGGGCATTTAAAATGAAAACACAATGAGATTTTTTTCTTAAGAATTTTTTTCTTAAGAATCACCTGAAACTTGGAGAACTTACACAAATTATCCAAATGGTCACTGTTAGTAATCACGACACGAGATTACTTAACAGGTTATTTAAGAGTGATATCATAAAAATGTTTCAGTTATTCATGCTTCATTTCATTATTTTTAATGAAAAACTTTAAAACTTTATATTTAATAACACTCTAAAGTATTTCCATATATTTCAGGAATCTTTAGGCATTCTGTATGTATTTGATAAACTGATAAAAGGGTTATGTGTGACTTGCATGTATGGTTCTGATTACTATACATTTTAAAAGCGGAATCCAACTTTCCCGGAGCTTATGAACTTTTGTTGAGACTTAAGCCCTGGAATTACATCCATTCTTCATCCAGAGCTGGTCCCCTTGCATCACTTGTGCAATCACTTGTGATCCAAGTCACAATAATAAAAGCTTTGCACTGAACCTATGTAGCAATATGGTAGCAATTTTCCTGGTGAGCAAAGATGCTCTTTGATATCTTTCTTTCATGGTGAGTCAGAGAATGTTACGTAAAGAAGAGAATGTTAACTCTCTGACCTCATCCTTTTCAAAATAATGAGAATAAAGAGAGAATGAGACCAAGAATTGGGTGATTTAGAACATTTTTTAAAGGATAGATAACCTAGAGTAGTAGAGAAATAGGGAGTAAAAGAACAGGATAAGCAGAAATACAAACTTAATGTTAAATTAAGCCATAATTTATACCTCTATTTATTACTTACCATAATAGAGGTAAATAATAGAGACACAAAGGCATAAATATATAGTACAAATGTATCTCATTTGTGTGTTATTTTTAAAGTTATTAATGGGAAATAACACACATTTTCCTATTTGTTTGCTTTATTATTTAAAAAATGATTTATCCTCAATTGTCTTTATACCTCAGCATTTAAAGTAAATGTGAAATCCTCTGGAACAAATAGCACCTGGCTCTAAATTAACACCTAAAAGCATCAGAAACCGTCAATAAGTAAAAAAGATGTTTATATAATAAGTTTATGTTTCTCCTGCCTAACTCAGAAGCAATTGTTAGATCAAGTGGAATAATCTTTGAGTACTTTGACAAGTATGAAGTGCTATTCAAATGGGAAGTAATAAGATCACATACTATTTCCTGAAAGAGTACACTCTCTTATTACATTGCTTCTAGATGTTAATAGAGAAAAATATTTTTCATAAATCATTATGAACATGTGACGTAGGGTCTCTTTTCATGGTAATGGAAAATTTTATGACAAAATAATTATGAAAATGAAACTGTGATATTTGATGCCATAACAAAAACTTATTTTTACTAATTGCTATATTTATTTTGTAACCAATTAGGAAAGTTCACATGTATAGAAGTGCGATTCCATCTTGAACGACAAATGGGATACTATCTGATCCAGATGTACATTCCCAGTCTCCTGATTGTTATTCTATCCTGGGTTTCCTTCTGGATCAACATGGACGCGGCTCCGGCCAGGGTAGCTCTGGGAATAACCACTGTGCTGACTATGACCACACAGAGTTCAGGATCACGAGCTTCCTTACCAAAGGTAAGTGCGCTGAATAGACTAGATGTACGCATGTTTGCACATGTAAAGATAGCGTTTTCAGCTTTTGTCAGATCTTTTCCAGTAGCATTTATTACTTATTACCCATTTTCAAAGTAATAGGTAACCAGTACAGAAAACTTGTAAAAAAAAAAAAATGAATGAAAGAAAAAATTCTATAAACCAGTGATATCTGCTATTTATATTTTGTGTTAATGATCCCTAATTATTTAAATATCAGTACTACTGTTATACACTACAGAATTCTTTGTACCTATCAATATTTAAACATTTAGAAAAATATTAAATATTTATTTAAGTTGAATCCACATGGTAATTTTAAATGGCGGCACAGTACTCTACTGTATGGATATACCATAAATTACTCACTCTTATGACTAATATTATAATGAATATTTATATAATAAATGTTATATATATGTATATGTGTGTAGGGTCTACATATCACATATATCATCTATATATATTTACATACACACATATTACATATATACACATATATGTATCTATATACATATATAGCTTTTATACATATTTTGCATTATTTTCTTAGTATACATTCTTAGAACAAGAATTGCTATACTGATAGCTATATGCACTGATATATATTGCCAAATTTACCTCTAGGAAAACATTATAGCAATTATACTCCCACAAGTATCGTATCAGATTGCTCATGGTGTTACGCCCTAAGCCAAATATGGTATTTATTATTTTTGCGGGTTCCCACCCTCTGGCTTTTAAATAGCTATAAGTCAATAGGAAGGACAGCTTACCTAATTCCATGATTTTAGTCCATGCTGAGCTGCCAGGATTAAAATAAAACTGTTCCCTCTGTGAGACTTGTAAAGGACCCATTATTTCTTTTCATAAAATATTCTGAAATAAAACACAGGAAGTTCTTTTCATCCATTTAGCTACATAGAAATATAAAATTATTTTCTTCCCCTAAAATGACTTCTAAGAAGTTTCTGCCACCTAAATTTAGTAATCCTTCTTTGAAGCTTTACTATTATTTTCATTTAAATGATGTACTGCATATAATAAAATCATGTTAACTTTCTTGTACATTTCATGCTATTTTCTTGCCATAACAAGTAAATTATATTAATAAATCTACTGTTAAGGCTTCCTCAGCCCTTTCTATGAGTTGCAGTCTATGATTCAATTTTTTTTAGATTAAAATGCCTACATAAATAAAAGTTGGCAGCGGGATACTTCATTATTAAAAATATTACTTAATATAGGAAGAACTTGTTACTCAACATGTTCGCTCTGCCGCACTAAGGTTTAGTGCTTGTCATTCAAAATAATGCCTACTTTCATAACACTTAGTTATATTTTCAAATGGTTTATAATAGCTGATACCATCAACTAATGTTTTATGAAATACTGTCCATACTGTGAAAATTATAAATCTGTTTATAAGTTTGAACTAATAAGTATCAATGCTTTTTTATACATGAATAAATGTCACAAGGGCTCTGAGTAATAGTGGAAATTCCATAGTTAATTTGTAAAGGAAATCACCAGTTAATTCACTGACCCTCATGAGATAAACAGAAATGAAATTTCATTTGTTCTGCATGTTATCAACCAAGACGAAGAGAGCAAAATGCTCCATTTCAGGAATCTATAGCTTCTATGAGGCACAGCAGAAAAACAGTTACATACAGAGAGTAAAGTAGAATTGGGGGAGTATGCAGACGTGAGTAGTGAAATCAGAAATAAAGAAAGCAATAACATAAAAGACAGAATGGAGGCACAATTTTTTTAAAAAATTGTGAAAGCGAGTTTTTCTCAAAAAATAGGAGACATTTTTTTAAAAGGCATTAATTTCACCAAGATCTCAGGGAAGGAATAAATTTTCAACCATGAGTTCAACTATAACCATACGTGTATGCAAAGCCTCTTCATCTCTCTGATCATAGAGAAAATGACCGCTAGACATGTGATGACCGGTATAACTCTGACCCACAAAAACAACTGATTGACAAAGAGAGATCATCTCAGACTAACAAAAGGTTTAGTTATATACATTGTATTTTAGGAAGGCAGACCCTGAAGACCCAGGATAACCAACAAGAATTAATCTATGGGATGAGACCACTCAAAAGAGTAGAAAATCTCTTGAAAAATGCAACTCTTTTTTTTTTTTTTTTTTTTTTGAGACAGAGTCTCACTCTGTTGCCCGGGCTACAGTGCCGTGGCATCAGTCTAGTTCACAGCAACCTCAAACTCCTGGGCTCAAGCGATCCTCCTACCTCATGAGTAGCTGGGACTATAGGCATGCACCACCATGCCTGGCTAATTTTTTCTATATATATTATTTGGCCAATTAATTTCTTTCTATTTTTAGTAGAGACTGGGTCTCGCTCTTGCTCAAGCTGGTTTCGAACTTCTGACCTTGAGCGATCCACTCACCTCCCCCTCCCAACAGAGTGCTAGGATTACAGGCATGAACCACAGCGCCCAGACGAAAAATGTAATTCTTATTCTGTGACTTTTTTGGGCTAGAAAGGCAGAAGATGAAGATTCACACTTGCATTTAGGAGATGTCTAAAACCATGCACCTTAAAATTCGTGTTCTCAACCTCACAAAAGAACCCTCAGATGTCTGAAAGTCTTGCAATTAAAACATTCACTATTCACCTGCTGACAAATTCTAGAAAATTGGAAAAATAAATAAATTCAGGAAAACAGATTATCAAACATAGGAGGAAGAAACAATAAATCATTGATTTAGAATAATTACTTAGTGTTTTGTCTAGGCTCTGTGACAATGCATCTCCTGTAGGATAAGAAGGAGCTTGGAAATCAGTCAAATAAGACTCAGAGAATAAAATCTCAAAGAATATATACTTATCCAGATCCTTGAAAACTAGAGATGAGATTCTGCTAGGGTATCCTCTATGATATTTTCTATTGCACTGGCCTCTACAGTGTCATGATAAATCAAGCACATAATGGCCCAAAAGCAAGAAGCCTCCTATGATTCACCCTTAGAAGTTGGAGCTATTTTGCATTTCTGCAGTCCCGGAAGAGGGTGACATGAATTCTACTCCCAGAAAATTTTCAACATTATATAACTTTAGGAGAACTTCCTCAGACCATGTGCTTGGAGCAGTAAGTGAGAAAAACTAGTCATGATCATGGGGCCATATATGGAGGACTTTCTATCTAGACTGTGGTAATGATTAGGTTTATTATGGGTGTGGCACTAGGCCCCTGAAAACTTTTCATGAGGGCAGTGATCACTCTGACTTCTGCATGAAGACCAGATAGAAAGAGCAGGGAGACTACCAAGGGAGCTACTGAATTCCATGCAGATGATCTCCCGGGGAGATGAACAGCAGCAGAGACAGAGAGTAGCAGCAGATGGATTTACAAGGTAGATGTCTTGAGAAAATGTACTTGGAAGTGAAACAGACAGGATTTCCTTCTGAATTGAGGATTCAGGAATTCAAGAGTCAAGGGTGGTGTTCAAGCGAGTAACTAGGCAAGTAGTGCCGTCAGTATTGACGAGGAAGGTTGAGGGAGAGGGTGATCCAAGTTTCTCTTTTGAACATGTTAACTTTGAGATGTTTATAGGGCAACTGCACGGAACTGTCAAAAACCAAGAACTTCTAAAGTTCTGCCCAGGAACACCTAGCCCTCGGATTTTAGGGAGTAAACTGCAAATGGATAGGAAAGCAGATCAGAGGTGATTTTTCTAAGAATGAAAGAAAGCTCAGAAATAGGCGGAAAGAAGATGTATTTGTGGTTGGCTCTCCTCCTACAGCTAAAAAATCTTTTCTTTCCTTTCATCCTCTAGGCCCATCTGTACCCATAAACAGAATATGTTAGATAGTCTAGTTAAAGGCAAGACCCACTCACCCTGAACCTTTTCTCCGAAACTCTTTGAGATCCCAACATTCTGAACTTTCTTAGGTATGGAAAAGCAATCCTCCTTAAGGAGATTAGGCTTTAACCAGGGGTGAAAGAGGGAATAGATACAATCACTCAATTGTTTTTCAATACAAATTTGATTTATACTAATGCCCAGTTAAGATCTTGGCAGTGAGGGAATTATAATTTTTCTTAAGTATGGGGATGGGCAGAAATAGAGAAAATCAGTAGAAGAGATATAATTTAATTTAGAAACTCTGGGTTCTAGAAATAATCCACATTAGAGAACTCTGGGGAAATTTTGACTAAATAGCTCTATTACATAAACCTGACCCTTTCTTTTCCAATCTCAACAATCAACTCATTTCTCTGAGAGACCTATCTTTATCCCTTATTTCCTCCTGTTTCATACAGACCAGCTAAAGATCAGCTTTGGTATATGTTTTTTTGTTTCATACCATCTGCGTAAGTACACAAGTATCACTATGCATACACTAGTTTAGTCTTTTAAAAAAGATTCAAACCTATTGTCACACCAGTCTAGGCACAGTGGCTCACATCTGTAACCCCAGCACTTTGGGAAGCCAAGTCGGGAGAATGGCTTTAGACCAGGATTCCAAGGCTATGATAATACCATTGCACTCCAGCCAGGGCAACAGAGCAAGACCCTGCCTCTAAAAACAATAAGAATTTTAAAAAATTGTAAAAACCCTATTACCATATCAGGGTTCTTTGAACATAGCATGTCAGATGTGTGCATGCACACATACAATGTACACACTGCACACATTCACACATAGATATAAACTTGGCAGGGTGGGAGAAGTCTCTAGATTCAAGTTCACACTAACCCTAGCTCTTAACACAGTATGCTATGAGATTCTTGGTGATTAGGGATGCTTCACTCCCGTTTAGTTGCAATTATTCTGCATAACAAATAATCCCCTAATCTCAATGGTTTACAACATTCACTCTTGCTCACAGGCCAGTGAGCCACCTGTGCTGCTTCTGAGCTTGCCTGAGATGGGCTGAGTTACAGTGGGCTTGGATTAGGCTGTGGAGTGGGTTCAGGTCTGCTCCCTGGGTCTCCTCAT